TTGATCTTTACCGACACGAGACGGGACATTGAAAAGTCTCCGAATTTTGAAAGAAAACAAAAAATGAGACAAAAATGTCGCAAAAATATATTGGATTTGTCGCAATTTTGTCGTAAAACATAAATGTTTTTGTCTTGTCGTTGTTTTATCTGCTTGGTTTGGACCCGGCATTTGAATCTTGATGTTGCTTGCGTAGATAGGTTAGAGCGCTTGCACATACACCGGCAAAAACGGTTATGTAATGTACAGGGTGGGTTAAATTGGACGCTTTTAAAGGAAAACGCCCTTTTCTATAGAAGATAGACGAAAACTAATATCGGTGTCTGGAGCTCAATTTTTATCAAAAACATTTTGATGAAAACCGCACATCGATATTTGTTACCGTTTCGGAGTTACGGGGTGTTTTTCAAAAATGTGCTTTTTTGACAAACCGCTGTAACTTTTTTGGATGGAAAATTTTGTATTTTTATGAAAACCTTTCCAAAGCACCTTTTTTGGTAGAATTTAATGGTTTAAGTGATTTTTTTAATTAATAATTTAAGAGTTATCAACAGAAAAATGTATTTTTTATTTGGGTCACCCTGAATATCTTTAATTAACCGAAAATAACTTAAAATTATCTTTCCAAAAATATTGCACACTTGATATTTTGTTAGAGTCCTCTTCGAAATACAGTATTTTTAAAAGTTCTCCACTTTTAACAGTAGGTAGGCTTTGGACCCCTTATTGATGATCTGCCCCTAATGGAAATCGAAAACATATTTTTCCAGAAAGATGAGGCTCCGCCTCAAAACGCTGAAGTTATCAGAAAATTTTTACAACCAATTTCGAGAATAATTGAATAGCTAACCAAGATCCCAACCGTTTGGCCGCCGAGGCCGCGGCCGCCGGAGTTGGTGCCTATGGATTTTTATCTTTGCGGAAGAATAAAGGTTCTTATTTTTAAATTTCGGTTATGCGAGGGTATCTTTCACCCCCACTGAGTTAATGAATTCCGCGAGAAATGTTCAAAAACGGTCCCGTCTGTGCATAACAGAAGATGGTCGATATATCGAACACCTATCATCGATCACAAGCAAAATCTCATGCTTTGGTTTGCTATTAATTTTTATTGTTATTAGGTATAGTTTAAATGTGTTGATGTTGATGTCAATATAGTTTAAATTTTTATAAAATTCTGTATCTCTCATTGCAAATATTATTTTTGTTTTAATTGCTTCTCACAGCTTGACTTTTTTGCATTACAGCCGGCGCCGTTCAACGCCTACTTATTCAAAGTGGGCGAATTTTTAAAAACTCTATATTTTTAAGAGGAATGGAGTAAAATATTAAGTGTGTTATATTTCTGGAAAGGTAATTTTAAATTATTTTCAGTTAATTAAAAATATACAAGGTGTCTCAAATAAAATATCATTTTTTTGTGGAGATTTAAATCTTAAATTATTAATTTTAAAAAAATTATACTTAAATCATAAAATTCTACCTAAAAAAGTGCTTTTGAAATGTTTCCATAAAGATACAAAATTTTCTATAGCAAAAAGATTACAGCGATTTGTTATAAGTGCACATTTTTTAAAAACACCCCGTAACTCCGAAACGGTAACAGATATCGATGTGCTGTTTTCACATCATGTTTTTGATTAAAAATGAACTCCAGACACCGATATTAGTTTTCGTCTATCTTCTATAGAGAAGGATGTTTCCCTTTAAAAGCGTCGAATTTGACCCACCCTGTACATATTCAGAACTACAACATATTCCGAAATACACAAAAACGATTTTTCAAAATTTTTCGAAAAAAATCCTTGGCATCCCTTATCGATTTTGTCAAAAACCGAAATGTTTCAGTGGCAACTAAACTATTCTTACTGATAATTCGTTTTACGTAGAATTGACGTCGTAAACCGTTTTTCTATATCTGTTACTAAAAACGGTTAGGGACGATTTGTTAGAACTAATAAATAATATTCAAAATTTTAAATCGGTGTACCTATCTGAAAACCTCATTTTTTACGCTCCAAAGAGAACTGTTTGTTCGACGCAACAGTTCCTATGTCACCGACCCCAAAGGGCGTCATGTACAGGGGGGAATTTTAGTTCCTTGGGAGGAACTAGTCCCTTAGTTGTAGTTCCTCCAGAAGAATAGTTCCTTGAAGTAGGTCTTTAGTTCACAATAGTTCCCGACTAACATTAGCTTTTTTCGTTTTTCTGTTATTACCGATTCGGAACCGTCCTAGAATTGTGATGCGTATGCGCAGAAGGAAATATGAGGACATTATTTCATTTGCGCATGCGCTGGAGAGTTCTAGGACGATTGACATCCCCGTTGCTTGCTAATGGGTTTCGTTGTCAGTCAGAACTATTCACAGTATGATCTGTATAATTTTTATAATGTACGGAGATATAACGAGACGTGTAATTGTGTATGTTAAAAACATAACACAAACTAAAAATCAAAAACAGTATCCACGACAATTTTCTGTGGTAATAACGCCGCGCCGGCTGTGGCAATAGACCAGGCCGAATCCATCGTCGTCGCCTTGTAATATATCTCTGATCTGCCGACTGAATAGATTCCCGTGAACTAGTCTTTTAATAGTTCCTCTATGTCCGGATCCGATAACATACGGCTGGCACTGCTCACGCCTGCCTAGCATCAATAGCGCTGACTGATCCATACGTAAACTAGTCTTTTATTTAGTTCCTCTAGTTCCTTTAGGTCCGGATCCGATAACATACGGCTGGCACTCCCCACTCCTGCCTAGCATCAATCGCGCTAGCCCGATCCGTACGTACGACGTACGTAAACTAGTCCTTTATTTAGTTCCTCTAGGTCCGGATCCGATAACGTACGGCTGGCACTCCCCACTCCTGCATACCATCGGGCTACGCGCGCTGGCTGATCCGTCGCCGTCGCATATTATTATATATCGGTCACAGTCTCGATCCCGAAATAGGTCCTGAGGAACTAGTTCTTTGAGAAACCAGGAACTAGTTCCTTTCATTCCGGGGTCGGAATAACTCATTGGAACTAGTTCATTCACGAACTACACACCTCTAGAGTCACGCGTCACGTGAACGTCAATCCGTTTCGACCATTAATCCTAGCATCTGTTTGTTTAGCGATCATGCGGGGTGAGATCGCTGAAAAAAGTTTCACATCTGGCAACCAATGCGCCCTTTTGGATTCAGATAGTACATAGGTAGACGAGTCTAAAAAGCTCGGGACACACATTTTTCTGGCCCTCTAGCGGTCTTGATGACGCAATCAAAATGGCCGCCAAAGTTTTGAGATACGCTTCTAGATTTCCCGTTATAACTCAATTTTCCTTTCCGATATTAACATATGTTTTTAGCGATTATGAATTAGGAGAAAACATGCTTACGAACGGTGTATTTGGTTTTATAGTTTAGGTTCACAAAACCAAAAATATTTTTTGGTTTTTAAGAAATTTTATTTTTTATTTTGTGTATGTGAAGGACAGTGCTCGGATAGTGATCGGTAATCATAAGTGAACGGGTAATACAAATCCTCTACTCTGGATATGACTTCTGTAACTAATCTTTGAAAGCTACTTTACAGTTATACCTTGAGTGTGCTTCATGGGTGCGATTTTAAAACGGAAATCAAAGTTTTGTCTTCCGAAAAAAGCTATACTTTATTTACTTATTCATCAAAAATTAGTTATTAAATTTTTTGCTTATTAGCAGGTACAAAACCGCTGTATTACTTTTTGAAATCTATAAATTACATTGCTGCCTTAACGACTACATTGTTTTGGCAGATGTTTAGCAACTGTTTATGATAAAATAGAAGATATATATACCGTTGCGCGTTGTAAAGGTAATTTTTTTGCGAAGAAAAAAGTATAGAACACATTTTTAGCTATATATAGCGAATTTCAAGTTATTTAAAAAAATCTGACAAAAAATTTAAATTAAAAAAACATTTTTTTAAGTAATACCGTTAGGTTAGTATTTTTGTTATTTTAAACGTAAATAATTTTGTGAAATATACCATTAAAAAGCGCGTTTCCTCCTCTTTTATAATCACTAACAATATTTGTTTAATATCGAAAAGTAAAACTGACTTATAGCGGGAAATATAGAAGGGTGTTTAAAAATTTTGGCGGGCATTTTGATTACGTCATCAAGACCGCTAGAGGGCCAGAAAAATTTGTGTCCCGAGCTTTTTAGACTTGTCTATCCATGAACTATCTAAATCCAAAAGGATGCGTTGGTTGCCAGATGTGAAATATTTTGGGATAATTTTAACCTAACATACCCCACTTTTCTTTTCAATTTAATTAAATCCTTTTATCACTCTTAAAACACTATATATAGTCACTTTGATATTTGCCGACGTTTCGTACAGAAAATTCCATCACCAGAATATTTTATGCAAAAAAAATAAAAAATAAAAATGCAATACGGCATTTTATTGAGCATCAAATTGCGCAACTTTTCCTCCATTTAACCGATCCTGTATCTCTTACGGTTTCCGAAATCTCAATAATGAGCGTCGAATTCGAGCCACCCTGTACAGATACATCGCAACTAGGCATCGCAAGTTGTCCGGACGAATCTCGGCATAATAGAATTTTCCGAAGTTCGGTTAAGAGTTTTCATCACTCCTAAACCTAAAACGCCGACAATCTTAATTGTATATATTAAGCATGTAACAATAATAATATTTAGGCTCGATTACTTTTGATTTTGCTTATTCTTTTCTATAACCAATATTTCAGTCAGTAAACTGACTGCGAAAGAATTTTGTTCATAAACCGCCCCTGTCAGAAACCGTATATAAACCCAATATAAACCTACCTTAATCCCACTTCAATAACTGCGTGAAGGAGTACTGAGTTTTCAGATGGACACCTGTCCACACGTTCTTTTCGTCGAGGACATGTCGAGGATCTCTAAATGTCTGATTGTATGGAAATGGTGTATCGACGTTATTTCAAACCCTCTACAGTTAAAATTAAACGTGACAAACGATCGATCTGTCATTTCCATGTTTTTGTCAAGTTTTATTCATATATTCCAAAGTAGGAAAATAATAATTCATAATTTGTAATAATTTATCATAATGTAAATCATTTTACCGCTCACATTAAAGAATTAGGATGTCAATCAACAGAGTGCAAAAATTACTCTTATCTGAATATTGTGATTTCGACGATATGGTGCTCATTGAAAGCCCATTCGCACAGACAACCAAAGAAGGTACTGGAATGCGGCAAGTTCATTTAGGTAACTGTTCTTGTTGTATTTAAACTCTCTATATTTAAATTTACTATGGCGTTATTCCTTCGATAGACGCGTGTCAAATTTATAAGTGTCTTCCTTGTCAATATTGTGTCATTTATTTCCCATATAAAATTAGATTTAATTCCAGGTTTAACTCCATCCAAATTAATTCTAGCCACCGACGTTCTACCTCCTGTATCGAATGGTAATTTTGCATGCAGTTCTTGTATAGATCCTGAAATCGAAACGTTTGAATTGATAGCTATTTACCCAGTCGAGTGCGTGAATTTAAGTGTATATAGAAGAAAGAAAAGGCAAGCATTAAAGGCCAGATTTTGTAACAATCGAGTACTATATTTTGAATTGGGGGGCTTTGAGCGACGTAGCGTAAGTAAATTTTAGAAATGTTATTACAGTAAAAAATTAAGCTCCGGTTTTCTTAAAATAGTTTGAATATAATTTACATAATTAAAATATTGACCAAATCTATTTTACGCGTATAATAAAATTGCGTAGATAATATTATTTCGATCTGTTCAATAATAATCTATATATTCATAGATGTTTTGGAACTTGTGGTGTGAAAAAGTAAAATTTTTTTGTCCTGGTGTGTCGGACTCATCTCGCTCTGAAACATCAGTTGCCACTTCGACTACACGAAGCAGCTTGTATTTGGTGGATAAAAAAGTTGTAATTTTTAATGGTGCAAAACAATTGTGGTACAAGTTTGGACCGAATCCAGGTATAAGTACAAATCATCTAAATGAAGTTCTTTTGCAGAACTCTCAGGTACTAATTTTATCTATAAATTATTTTTACACTTCCTAGTCTGAAAAGATTTCGTATTTATTTTAATATAGTAGATCTCAACAAGGCTATGGACCGATAAGAATTTATACTTAGGTGAAGATAGAAAAGAGTCTTCTTTGGATTATAAACCTATCACAAAAATATCTTTTAAACTTACAAAATCCAAAGAATCTCCTAGGTAAGTGTGGTCTACTGAAAAAGATAATGGAAATATATTACAAACAAATTTAGGTATAAACCAGTTGAAAATATACCGTTAGTAGAAGAGAAACACCTTGCTTATGGCGATAATGTTCAAGTAAATAGGTTTGGATCTGGTGTATTTGAAGGTTGTGGAACAAGCCTTTATCTTACTTTAGATAAATATGTTAGTCCTACACATTACAGTTCTAGTTCAACGGTAGTTACTAGTATGGATCCTAAGTCCATAAATTACGATGATCTTGCTGAAACATCTGTTTTGATTTGGGAATATTACTCATTTAGTAAAGAACTCAATGGATATAAGTAAGTATAGTCTATAAAATGATTAACTTTGAATTTTGACCGTTATTTTTACCAACTTGGCAAATATAAAATCCCTCTATCAAAAAAGTTACTGCTATTCTTTAAATTGAGTGCCTGAACGAATCAAATAGGTAACTCTTTTTACTTTCGTGAAATAGAAAAGGAAAATAATAAAACAAGTGACAGTTCTTCCTCTTCTTGCAAAAATCAACACGAAATGACATAATTGACAAAAGTAAAATGTCATCAGCTTTTGGCATTTCTAAATATCAGACCAATGCCGTTTCTAATAGAACAGCCTCGGAGCGAGAATTATGACGTCACGCTAGTTAGATACTACGGATTAATAAATATGTTGTAGAATACATGGGAAACATAATTATTCCTCGTATTTTTGGTTTGTATTTTAAAAACGATATAGTTTACATGAAATATACATAATATACAGGGAAATTATAAGAACTTTCGTTGCACGTCATCAATGACACCATGCGTCGTCTTATGGAGTTTGTTGGTGGTCGTATTATGATGTGCAATCAAAGTTATTTTAATTTACCCATTTATACCTATTCATAGTAATAAATACTTTGGCAAATAAACTATGAACCATACAAATGCAGCAAATGTTTTACAATATACAAATAATGAATAGGTACATAAAATAATGGGTAAAATGTAAAATATATTTTAAATTTGGGGGTTTGAAAATCGATCCAATTTAACAAAAAACATTCAATATCTACTAATAGTGATGTATTATTATTTACATTCACAAAATTTATATGCATATTTTGCAAGTATTAATGTTCGAAAAATTATATCTGCAAATAATACAATATCATAGAAAAAAAGGCGTCAGCGATGGCTATAAAATAAAGATCGCTGTCATTTTATATGTAAAATTATTCTAAAATTTTTGATTTTCTTGAGATTTAGGTTCGGGAAAAACGCTGATTAAGTTTTCATTTTTTTACATTTGGTTTCGGCTAACATTATAGCCTTCATCAGTGTTGTGTCATATGAAAAAAATAGTCGAATATAATCCGAAAAATTACATATAAAATATACTAAATATTTATGTTACTGCAAATGTCCGAAATGCGGTAAAACCTAGGATTTACCAAAAGCAAGTAGTAGTAAAAACCAACCAACCCCACCAAATAACCACCTAACCAATTCATTAAGACCCTCCAAATAACCAGGCTAACCAATGCATTAACACCCTCCAAATAACCAGGCTAACCTAATTAGTTAATGCTTTTGGTAAATCCTAGGTTTAGCGCGCTTATCCTAGGTTTTTTGACGCATTTCGGACCACCCCCCCCCCATTTACAGTAACATACACAGTACCGTTACAGCAGGGGTGGGCAAAAGCCGGCCCGCGGGCCGGATCCGGCCCTTTTGCTAATTCTATCCGGCCCGTTGAAAAATTCCGCACGCAAATTTTTTTAAACTCTTTTATGAGATTTTGTTGACATCAGCATTATTAGTGTGCGTACTGTATATATAATAGGCTTAATAAAATGGGCGGTCGGTTAACTACACTAGTGTGGACGATGTCGCGATCTTGAAACAATCCTCGTGTGATTCTCAAGTGGGTCGCTCACGACGATAGCTCTCAAGGCGGTTTTTTCGTTGAACACAAAGGAGATCGCGCTAGGTTCGAAATGCATGTGTGGACGGCATATCAGTGGCGGATCTGGGGTGCTGTCATAGGTGAGGCGAAAATATAAAATACACATACCGATGTACATGCAAAGTAATTTGTATTTAAAAAATATTCTTGTTAATATGAAACATAAAATAATAATAATATTTACAAATTTACATGAATTACCTAGGCCATCACCCATAATTAAAATAAGCACCTTTTTAAAATACCAACTCACATCATATTTTTCAATTTCCACCCGATTTTCACTCAAAATTTTAAAAACGAGATCGATGATATCGAACGGAAACAAAATTAAAACGAACCTAACCTAGAAATTCAGTCCTCTCAACCTGTCTAATAATGGGAACTAAGATCTACGTTCAAATAAAAACTATCGAAATATTTGATTAGATAGTTAATCCAAATTATTTTACAATAGTATTTGACAGTAGTACATTATTTATATAGGTAATAAATTAATTTCTTTAAATTATCGGAAAAAAATAAGAAAACTAACCGCTTGGTAATTTTAGAATGGAAAAATTTTTCGATATCGATAGTTCCCAATGTTCTCATTACTAGACCTGTTGTAATACATCGGTTCAATTCGGGTCTATTCAGCTAAAACCGATATCGCCTCATCCGGACGAATTTTGACCAACCAGCAAACGCCGATTTCCTTTTCCTTGCGGCTCACTCAGTCACTCCCCGCAAACACCAAAATTTAAGGAATCTTGAGACGAGAGAGATTTTATCGGACCTTTGCATTTGCAACGAAAGGTATTCAGCACTCCTCTCACTTTTCGAGGGACGACAGGTCGCACCACGCGTATTGTTAATTTTGATTTAGTACTGATCGCATACTCTTTTTTGTTCGAGTCTAATATTAGTTTGCAAATATAAAATTGAAAAAGTGGACTTTTTGTAAGTAAAATTTTAAAACACTGGTTTTATTTTATTGTATTAATTAAATTATAGGTTTGTAGACCTTTGTAAAATGAGTCAATCTAAAAAAAGAAAAGTTGATTTGGAATGCAGAACTTCAATGAAGCTTGGATGGTAAAATATCTTTTTACAAACATAAATAAAGAAAGCAATTTGTTTAGTTTGTCAGGGAAACAATTGCTGTTTTAAAAAGAATACAATTTAAACAGGCACTTTACAACAAAACATCCAAAATATGCATCACATTCTTTAAAAGAACTTCAAACTGTAGCAGAAAACTTAGCAAAAAACTTGAATAAGCAACAAAATATTTTTACCAAACAAAGTAATATAGAGAAATCTACCACAAAAGCAAGTTATGTTGTCGCACACAAAATTGCTAAGTTCTGTAAGCCGTTTTCTGAGGCAGAATTTGTTAAACAATGCATGGTACAAGTGTCGGAGATATGTTGTCCTGAAAAGAAACATATTTTTGAAAATGTAAGCCTTTCAAGAAGAACAATAGTACGACGGATTGAAAATATTTCAGGAAACTTACTTGACCAGCTAAGAACAAAAATGGCTGATTTTACCTATTGTTCTCTGGCTTTAGATGAGTCCTGCGATATTACTGATACAAGTCAATTATTAATATTTATTCGCGGCATTAACAAGAACTGTGAAATTAGCGAGGATCTTCTTAGTGTGCATCCAATGAAAGATACAACTACTGGTGAAGACTTCTTTCTCGCTGTTGAAGGGTGTTTAGTTAAAGTAAGTTTAACTTGGAATAAAATAGTAAGCGTCACTACGGATGGTTGTCCTAGTTTAACAGGGAAAAATGTAGGCTTACTTAAACGAATTCGCGACAAAGTAAAAGAGTTACAACCAGAACACGATATATTATTTTTGCACTGCATTATTCATCAAGAAGTGCTATGCAGAAAAGTTTTAAAATTGAATCACGTCGTTACTGTTGTGACCAAAGTTGTGAATTTTATCCGAGGACGTGCCGTAAACCATCGACAGTTTGTTGATTTTTGAAAGAAATTGAAAGTGACTTCTACGAAATTCCTTATTACACTGAAGTGAGATGGCTTAGCATTGGTAAAGTTTTGGACAGATTTCAATATTTGCTTGATGAAATAGTATCCTTCTTGTCGATAAAAGAAAAACTACATGATTTTCCTGAATTGCAAAATAGAGCTTGGCTAAACGATTTCTCATTTTCAGTAGATATCGTAAAATATTTGAATGAACTAAATATAAATCTACAAGGGAAAAACCAATTCGCTTTCAATATGCACTCAAACGTCAAAGCATTTATGACAAAACTCAATTTATTTACTGAAAACTTTAATAATAAATTATTAAATCATTTCCCCTCATTGCAAGCACGGCGAGAATCATTGAAAAATACAGATTTTTTTAAATATAGTGCAATAACACAAGACCTGCATTCTGAATTCCAAAGAAGATTTCGAGATTTCAAAGCTATTGAAAAACCTTTATCATTAATTAGCCAACCTTTCAATTTCGATGTGCAAGAGGCTCCTGTTGAAATTCAACTAGAACTAATTGACTTACAATCAAATAATTTACTAAAAGAAAATTTTCACTCAAACGAATTGAGTGCTTTTTATGGCGCTTTGAATAACGAACATTTCAAACATTTTTTGAACTATGTTCAAAAATACCTTGTTTTATTTGGTTCGTCATATATTTGTGAAAGAACTTTTTCTTTAATGGTTTCCACGAAAAATAAATATCGATCACAAATTACTGACGAAAATCTACACTCGGTATTAAGGATTGCTACAAGTGATTTGGAACCCAATTTTGAAGAAATAATGTCAGATGAACATTCGAGATTCACGTTTCGCATTAACTTTAAATATTTATTTTAACGTTTGATGTTTTCTTTTCTTTTTGAATTCTATTTACTATTATATTTACGAAATGCAATATAAATGTTAAATTGTAATAACTATGTGTCAATATAAAATAATTTGTATCGTTAAGACATAAATAAGTAACAAAGTAAAATGTTTCATTGACTGGTTTATCTAATAGCCATTTATTTATAAAAATATTTCTTTAAAAATTACGTGACATATTTTATTCAAATTGAAATGATACTTAGTGTTTTTGTCAAAAAAAAATTGGCAGGGAAAAAACTCCATCCAAAACATCCGCTTGTGCAAAGCATATGCGGTATAGTCTTTCAGCCCGGGGGACATTTTGAAAATTTCATTTTGGCCCGCGCTTTAAAGTATTTGCCCACCCCTGCGTTACAGTATCATACCGATCGGGACAGGTCAACTCTGCGGGTTGGATTTTAACGTGTAAGACAGTGATGTAGACAGCTTAATGGCAAATCAAATGTATTAAAAAGAGAAGAAAGTTGGGTGGGTACATTTCT